ACTTAGTGACCTATGCTTGGTTAAAACGTTTTGGTGTCTCTTATTCAATAGCCTTCTGTAATGTACTTCGAGCAAGTACTTTGCGTTGAAGGGTTGAATTGTTATATTGCATTTATCCTCTTCCTGGAGTGCTCATCCGGTTTTAAGAATTCCAGTGAAATGCCGCATTTCAAGCAAATTGGAAAAAATTTATTTTTGATGTCAGAGGCTTTTTTGGTAAAAGCCAGTATTTGAACAGATCTAGCTGTTCATGAATCATATTTATCATTAAACTGTATTAGGTAAAGTTCATTCTTTTTGTATGACATCGGTGCTTTAAATAAACTGGTTACTGATTCCTGTCTTTCGCATCCACAGTTTGTTTTTATCGCCCTCATTTTCAACGCTCGACCTCTGACTATGTTTAGGTTTGAAAACCGAGTAGCAAACCAAGATCTTTCAGCCAATTACGCATAAATACGTTTATACGTTGCTATTAAGAACGTAGGAGTTGAATAATGAAATCAGTAGCCGGAAGGAGGGACCCAGGGCGTTGTCGGAAGTTAGTAACTTGATTATGATTTCCTCAAAAGATATGGGATTTTAGACCCATTCAAATCTGACCGACGTTTGCATGAGAGCTATGTGGCTCAGCAGAAACACACCTTTTGGCTACACAACTACGGACCACGGAACGAACTATGGAAGTCAAACTTGTACGTCCTGAAGAAGGCCCGCGAGACACAGATCGAAACGTCTACTGACCAATTAGCTTGCGTTGTTTATGAATACACCATGCTTTTATTGCGTTATGTACGAAGTAGTCAATCATCTATACTGATTTTATATCTATTAAGATTTTCCTCCCCATCCGTACTTGGTATTTCTGATGAAACTGAGCAGCATCGTCGTAACGAGCAGGAAGCATTTTTATCTCGGTCGTTGAGTTTTCACTAAAAATCCTTAGTTAATCTTTGTTTTCGCCAGCCTCCGCACCACTGACTCAAGTCACCGTTCCCCCACTCCTCTCAGTGCTGTGCTATTTGCTTCCACCGTTGACCAAACGTCATTGTCATTGGGTCACCAGCGACCGAGTGGGCGTTTGTTACCGAGAGGGATTCAGTTCGTAACTCGAATATCCATTTGCTGTCCTTCGGTCGAACCGCTTGGCCAGCTCATCGTCTCTTTCACTTGTGCACTGCGGTGATACATAAGAAAATCGTGTTGGACGCTCAACTACCGCACGGCCTCGAACAGAGACCTCGCATGTTCTACTTTTCCTCAGTCTTAATGGTAGATTAGCACTTGCCATGAAACATGGAGGGTAGCACCGCCGAGTCGAACAATTCCTTCTTCGTGGCCGTGGATAGTTCCTTATACAGAAGCGATATTTTGATGTGATTGAAACCTTTCTTCGGTTGATCTTGCAGTTGACGTTATGGTTGGAATCTGTTAGGTGGCAGAGGCATGGGAAGCCAGCGGCTTTATCCGCTTCTTCGCCATCTGTGAAAATTGCCTCTACGTCTATTTCGTCATAGAGATGTGCATTTCCAGACCGATGACGCGTAACTCATTCTTGAACCGTACTTACCAATCCTTGTTTCTAGCTCCACTGGGTCATTGGCGAAGATGATGACGTGGTCTGAACAGAGGAGATTGGTGAGTCTCCGTTCTTACGGTTAAATAGGTATCATAACGCTGTTTCGAAAAACTTAAGAGATGGTGTGTCCTTTTGTATGTACTCCTCTTATGACGTTCATTCGATAATGATTTCTAGAACAGCTTCATGTCCATTGCGGTGTCAGTATTATTTGGTTTCTCGATCAGGTCGACGTAAACGAGGTTTACACTATTCAGGTAAGCACCCAGTTCAGTGCAGTCGATGAACACGTGGCAGACTGAGAATTGTTGCACTTTGCACTCCTTGCACTTCTCTGTTAACTGCTTCACGACGAGGTTGTGGTACACATCAGAGAACACTGTTCAGAAACTGGCTTGTGCTTTACTAGCGAGTAACTATAGGTGTTTGCGGTTAAGATTCGAGTAAATACCTTGTGGACTTATGACAGAAGACTGATGGGAGTCACCCCCGGAGAGAGTTCTCATCAGAGACATCCAGCCGATTGACAATGCAGAGGAAAGTCCTTCTGTTATGTGAAGAATTAATTCATCACGTATTTATGATAAATGACGAAGTATCGAAACTTGTCAGTTAGGAAACGAAATTTGTCGAGGCAAGAAAATTGCGCTTGCTCTATGATTGACACATTACAGAAAACGTGACAAATTAACGGAACATCTTTTCGTCATCTCCACATGTGTCGTTAACCCGGGAGTGCCGTAAACCAGATGGCACAAGGGCAAGATCGTCTGTAAGAGGTTGGAATGATGTTCAGCAGATGAGTTTTAAGTTCGATTCGTACAGTGTATGTTATTGAAATTATCAGCGCTAATGAGTGACCTCATTTTACTTTGAGAATGCCCTCTGTTAAACCCTTATGATATCGAATACCCGAAATTTCAAATGAGCGGTCATTACAGATCTTAAGCGATCTAACTTCTGCTTCATGACAAAAAACGAAGATAAATGATGAACAACTTCGTCGTTTCCGTCATTGTTGTTTGTCGGTTTTTCATGAAACAAATTTCTTGGTTTTCTACCTATATCTCATCCAAAAACCTGAGATCACCCGAACAAATTAAAGTAAATTACTGGTATATTAGAGACAGAATATAATTTAAAGAACCACGGCCAACCTGAGGAAGATCCACTTTACAATCGTTGTTCTGCTATTTGTTTATATTCATTTGTCATGTCCAAGTTTTGGCAACGTATTCTGTGCTTCAGGGCTTACCTGAGGAAATTTGACTAACTGTCTGATTGAACTAGATCTAAACGTTATCAGCTATACGAATTGAGGATTCTTAATATGGGCATGTTTCTGAGATGGGATAAAGGAAGACTTATACTATATCACATTGCATACTCCGGTAGGAAACATGTTTATTTCAACACCATGCACGCCTTAATAATATAAATGCGACAATTTGTCTAACTATCACTGAAAGACAGTTAGTTTGTGAGAAACAGAAGTGAATGAACAGTAAGGATAAATTTACTAGTGAGCAAGATAGCGTAGGAAGGAAGGTCAATGTTCTCGAAAGCGCTTCCATAAAAAATAGGGAAACTAACTTGAAACGATGCAAAGCATCCACCTAGAAACGCGTTATTCATCACCAGTTGGATAGTTGGCAGAAAATACATAAAAAATGACGGATAAACTACTAAAGGAGTTTGATTTTTGTTGTAACAAAGCTTGCTTGCAAAGGAAGGGCATAAACTCCAGCGATGATTGCAATATATCTTAATGAAGTGTCTGAAGCTTTCTTAGACGAATCGCTGGCCTTACGT